ATGTTGAAAACAGATGGGGAAGTTTTGCATCAAACTTGGGATTTAGAAAATCTTGATCAAAAATATTGAGCTAAAAGAATACTACAAACATAAAACTTACAGACAGTGCAGATAATTCAAATAGACATTTGGACTAAATACTAAAAGCTCACCAGAAAATATCAGATTATAAAAAAATTCTGGTGTACCCTTTTGTATCGGAAATATCTTTTGCTTCTTTACACATACAATTTCAAAATTTTACAGAACTAAGCTTTTTTACCGATTATATTATGTTCTAGGGTTTTTTAAGGTGGCTGAAAACACTTGGCTAAATTTCTCTTTGCACATTAAAACAATATTCAGATATAATTAAAAAGCTTAGGTAGATTGCGGTAATAAAGTTAATTTTAATTCACTTACAATTTGATATGAAAAATTTATTTTTATATAAAAAAATTTGACTTTAAGTCTTTGTAAGAATTTAGTTTTAAGAAACACTAAATTTAGCATTTGTATATTTAAAGTTAAAATACATCGATAAGGTTTTTAGCTGTCTTGTTGAATATTTTAGTTTACATTTCCAAAGCTTGAATTATCGTTCTATTGTCTTATTTAGGTGAATAAATTTAGATAAAATCTAAAATGATAAAAAAAATATCTTTTTATACATTTTTTTGTAATTAAGCCACAAGATACACCGTGAAACAAAATTATTGGACGATTCTTAATTACGGAATTTACACATAGGATTTGGATGGAAGGAATTTGAATGTAGCTTTTTGAATACATATACTTCAGTGGTTTCGGTTTAAAGATTAAAATTAAGGTTTGAAAATTATTTGTACTGTCAACCTAAAAGTTATTTACAGTTTGTTTCAAACTCAGGTTCGAATATTATCTTAACTTAATCTGTTTCAATGAAGTTAAATTTATTTTTTACTATTTTTTCTAAAAGCGTTTATTCTTTTTTCATAGCATACGAAATAAAATTAAATCTAGTGAATTTAGAAAAAAATATTGTAGCAAAACAAAGGTATTTCTTAATTGAACGCTTAGGGAATAATGTTTAATTTTTTTTACACCCGAAATGTGTTTTGTTTTAGAATCTACATGTGGTAAAAAAAACTATCTTTTTCCAACAAATTTTAAAATTTAGTTAAATTTCGTAAATAATATACAATATTTTACAACTTCCCTAATTTCTTTGTTATATTTATATTAAAAATCTTCAAATAGCTAAAATAACTTAGCCCGACGATAATTAAACGTTCAAAAGAAACATAATAGTGATTTGATATCGGTAAAATGTAAATATAAGATTTTGATTTTCAATCTCTTACATTCATCTATTTAATTGTGTAAATTTTATTTGTTTATCAATTAAATATTCTATCAAAGCAATTTCAATGTAAATTTTATTTTTAAAATTAAACGAATATCTGTTTAAGTTAAGTAGTTTTTGCTTTATTTTTTAATTAAAACCTTAAAAAAGTATATCTTACCATGCTTTCTATTTCTTAAATATAAACTTTTTTGTAAATTGTTCTTATTTCAGTTCATTTGAAGAGCTAAAACATTTTTTGTATTTATAAAAATCTTAAATAATTGCTATCAGATTTAAATTAACAAATATTGTTTTAAGACCTCATTCAAGCAAAACACTGAGCAAATGGTAGAAAAAATGAATCATTTTCTAAAGTTACACGTAATCATTACATATTAAAAGGATTCTTTGTATATGTTTAAATGCTTGCAATATATTTAATTTTTTAATAGATTTTTGTTTTAAGGAGTCAGAAAGAAATATCTTTTTTATGAATTAACACTTTGAAAGATATGAACAGTTAAATATTTTTTATCAAAAAAATATCACATACCGATAAAAATTTGTGGTTAGTGTTTATTTATTTCATGACATTAATGTAGTTCTAAGCTTAACATAAATATCTGCACCCTCCCTCCAACACTCCATTGTTATCGCTTAACATACCTCATACCAAAACCTTTTATTTAAAAGATGAGCAGAATACAATTAATGGGTGAGACAGTTGACCGGTGTTCATTAACGTCCGTTGCAGAGACGTGATCACAGCTCCCCCTAAGCTCCCCTAAGACTATGCAGCATCCCCAGTTATTCTACACTTTCCGAACTCAATACATTTCTACCCAAGACATATATTTCGCTTGACTTACGTTGGGTCACCCTAGACAGTGCAATGCCATTCCAACGGGTATCACCTATTACTTACCTTTCCCGGGTTTAAATGGTTTATTCTTTGCCAGGCGATAAGTTTTTTAAGCGGAATGAACAAGGCTAGATTTTCATGCTTCTACTGACAATTATCTATAAATTCGTCTCTGATTTAATTCCATAAAACACTACAGAGTAAATTTGCAAAAATAATGTGCAATTTCGGCAATTTTCTTCATATAGAGTCTCACGGAATAACCGAAAATGTAGTCTGATTTTATTCTTATCAAAAAATCCAAACAATGATCTTTGCCTCAATTCCACAAACTCATCGCCAAGCAGAAAGTCTTCTATATGGTTATCCTCTTTTCATCAATATTTTTATTTAAAATTATTATTTTGCTCGCTTTACTCTTCAAACATATTTTTTACACAATTTTTTTCAATTTTAATTTCGTAATTTATTTTCACAAATTATTTTTTTTTTCATCCATTTAAAAATGGAATTAGAAGAAAACAAAACAGAGCTCTTTAAAGAATTTATAAAAGTAGCATCTTCTTCAGAAATTTTAAGATATGCAAGAAAATTAAATAACGAAGAATTAAAATCATTTATTCAAATCCTAGAAGAACGCAACAATGAACTTAAAAATAAGCATTCTAGTCTTCTAGAAAATTTGGAAGTTTCAAAAAATGTAGTTTCGCAATATTTAAAAGTTCTTTGGAGAAGAGTACCAACAGAAATTCATAAATATTTGGCAGATAAATTTTATTCTATTCATAATGAAATTAATGACAATGCTTAAAGATTTGTTTTTTTTTCCTTTGCTATTTCTAGAAAAATATTTGAAATATGCCAAGATAAAATGGCTTATAAAAAATTAATAGGATTTCTTTTATCAAACCTCAGTTAAATTTTAAATTGTAACTCCTTTCACTTTTATTCAGTTTTTGTTTAAATAATAAACTAACTTTTTACGCTACTGCATATATTATTGAATTATAATTTTGAATTCATGATAAAAACTTTAAATTCCAAATATTTATAAATTATATTCTTGTTTAAATTTTTTTATTTATTATATGAGAAATTAAACCGATTATTTAATTTTTAATACTTATTTATTCAGATGTATCTTATATTTTGCTTATTTTCTTCTTTTTTTTATATTCGACTTTCAAATATATTAAATTTTTTATATTGTTATCCTGAGTAACTTTACAGTCCTCTTAACTAATACAAATGGGTTAGATATTTTACTTTGAGTTTTCAGCATATTCTTCCTATTTTGTCATTTTATGGGAAAAGATAGTTTTTATTCAGCCATTCTGATCGTTTTATCACACGACATAATGTTTCACCTAATATGTAAATAAATTCAGTTTCGACACCAATATTTTTATATAAATATAAAATTCTATTCTTATGGAGTAAAGAGCTTTATTTGTACTCAAAATTTAATATTTAGTTACAATACCATCCTTAGATAATAAAATATAATTTGTTAAACACTACATTTATAAATAAGACCTAACTAATTATTCAAGAAGTTAAAATTAAATAATAAAACATTTCAGTATTGATTCAAGGACTGTAGACTTTCTTTTTAATTTTTTTTTTTCAAAAGAAGAATTTAAATTTATTTAATTTCAAACAAAATATTTAAAAAATTATAAAACATTTCTTTATTTTAAGGTCTTACTCCTTTCTTAAGAACAAAAAATGATTTTACTACTCTAAGTTTTATATAAGCCACTAAAATATATAAAAGAGCAATAACGAATAGAAAATAAGCTTTAAATTTTGCTTTTTTAAGATTTCTTAAATTTTCTTCTTTAATTTCTTTTATTCTCATATTTTGATTATAAATATTTCTTAAATCACTTTTAAGTTTTTCTAAAATACTTTTAATATAAGCTGTATCTTCATCTACCTCAAATTCTTTATCTACATATGAACCCAACACCATATATATTGGTTCATCATCAGGATTAAATATATCAATAGCATATGGACCAGCACCTGAATATTTAAGGATAGCACTTCCACGCGTGGCTGTCTTAAAATCTTTATCAGCTAATACCACATTTGGTCTTCTGACACGATAATTTAGAGTTCCTTTTGAAATAAGACTCATATCAATTGTTAGTTGTAAATCATCGCTTTTTACTTGTTCGTAAAATGTTTCTGTGGTTTTTGGATCAATAATAATGTAATTTCTCCAACAAAAACAATATTCAATCAAAAATAAGAAAAAGAGTTTCATTTTTTATTTATGAAGGGTTGTTTTTGTTGGAGAAATTACATAAGTTTGAAGAATTAAAATAAAAAAGTGGGGGTTTTAGAAAAGTATTTGTAATATAAATATTTCTTAAGAAACTGAATATATGAAAAACATAAATCGAGGTAAACTTGTATTAAATACGAATGATATTTTATCATTTTTGAAAAATACTTGAAAAATATCAATTAGTTAATACAAAAGAAATTTAATTATCCTAATAAGAAAAGTAAAGCATATAAAATCTATATTGAAACATTTGATTTTAGTAAAAATATTTCGAATGCTTAGGGTAGCATAATTCATTATTCTGATTACCTTGGACATGAATCTTTAAAAATATTTTATTTCAACTGGTAAATTATTCTTTCCCTTGTTTTATCATAAAAAAATTTTTATTTAATTTCCTGTTTTAAAGAATGATTTAAAAATTAATCAAGATTGGTTAAACCTCAAGTGAAATAGAGATAAAATTACTTTTTGCTTTACAATTTATTTTTCTCTGTATAATTTGTAATATGGAAAGATGATAGCAAAATATTAAAGTCCATGTAGCTCAGGGGTAGAGCGGTGCTCTCCTAAAGCACAGGCCGAGGGTTCAATCCCCTTCATGGATATTTTATGCCAAGTATTACAAATCAGTGGGTATTTTGTAAATAATTCAATTGTCTAAGATATCAAATAAATTTTATTACATTTTTTTCAAAATATATTTTTACAAAGTGCAATCTGACCAAAAATGAGACATTTTTAAATTATTTTATTGTGAAAAAATATTATCTATTTCATTGACCATATAAACATTTAGAATTCTAAGAGTATATATTGGTGTTTTAAAATAATGTATTGAAACTTTAATTGTATTTAAAAATGCGAAAAAAAAAATACTATTAAAAATCCCAATCTTTGTTTTTAAATTTGGATTTTATGATGAACAATTTAATTACTTAATTTAAGAATTTATAGGTTTGGTTTTTAAATATTTATAAAAACATTCAGTATTAAATTGAAATGTAAAATTGTGTCAACTATATTTATTTGAGAATTACTTTCAGGTTTGAAGTAATTTTTATTTGGGATTTAATATTAACTATAACTTTAAATGTGGGGCTTAAAAAGATTTTATACTTTAACAGATACTTAAAATTTTTTTTAATATTCTATAAGAAAATAAAAAAAAAATTCGGTTTATTTTCCTTAAGATCAGCCAAATCTACAACACACACAGTTCCTTATAAACCGACCCGGCTATATATAGCCACCATATCCGCAATCGGACTTCGGTTCTAGATTTTTTAATATTCTATAAGAAAATAATTAAATCAAAAAAAACGTTAAATATAACGGGTAAAGAAATAGGAAAGAAAATGAAAACAAGAAATAAAAAAGTAAATTAATTTTTGTTTCAAATAGTAAATTTAAAGTTTTTTTTAGAAGCAAATATATTTATTATTTTATCTCATTTTTATCAGAGATAATAAGTTCTAAGAATTTAAATTAATATTTTATTTTTTCTTGCGATGTTTTTAGATAAAAAAATTACAGAACATATTGATTTTTTAAGGATTTTTGATGCGGAAAATAGCAATAAAAATAAAATTTTCGATACTTTCTTAGAAAAGTCTAGCGATGTGACAAAATTAAGAGATTCGGTAATTAATTCTGAAATATTAGAAAATTATATTTTGTATTTCTTACAGATTATATTTATAGAAGAAAAATTTAACTCTCTGGAAATTCATGAATCATTTTATTGGAAAGATATAATAACGGGTGAATTCTATAAGTCTAAATCGTTTATTTATGAAAAATTGAATATATCATTAAAAATTATATTTATTTTGAATAAGTATTTAGAACGGAATGAAGAATCAGAACAAAGCGAAAAATTTAGCTATTTTTATAAATTGATATTTTACTTTTTAGAAACAATTTTAAAAATAATTCAACAAAAAAATAATATTTTACCAACTAAAATATTCCAGGTATCTTCTAAACAGTTGGATATATCGTTAGAGTTTTTAACGGCTTTAAAGAGTTATTTTCAGTATAAATATACACTTTTCTCAAAAATTAATAATATGGACAGTGAAGAAGAACTAGATAGGTGTAACTTATCATATAAGCTGTGCCATTTCTTATCTAAATTGATGAGCGACCTAAAATCTCTTCATAATTTGTACAAAAACTTATTTTGTACTGATTTCCAGAAAATTTGTAAGAATCTTTTAGTTAAATGTAAAGAAGATCTTGATTATTATTCTTTAAATTTGAATTATTATAAAGCGTTATGTTATTACAAAAAAGATGATATAAAGATAGCTTTTGATACATTAAAAATGGCTGCAAATAAAATTTCGGAAATTCAAAATCAAAAGTATGTGGTATTAGAAAAATTTAAAAATATAATTGAAAAAATTAATGATTTATTTAAAGATCTAACTATTCAAAACACTTTAACTATTTCATATAATACTACAAATGAAATCTTTTTAAATATAGAAACATATGAAAGTTCCTATGAAAATATTTTTGAAATATTTTTGTATAAAGATATATATTATGATTTTATTCCAGTTAAAATCGAAAAAATAATTGAAACTTATTTAAAAGAAGAGTTTATACTTCACGATGATCTTATCGCAAGCACCAAATTTTATAAAAATCAAATTAATAAGTTAAAAAAGAAAAACTATTGGATTTTATATTCTGAAAATTACAAAATATATTTCGAAAATTTAAATATTTTACTTAAAAAGGAAAATATTGTTTTGGAAGAAAATAAAAATTCTATAAAAATTGGTTTATCAAATATAAATACCAATTTTTTAAATGCTACAAAAAAATATAAGAATTACATCGAAATGAATATTAAAAAATATACAAATTACGATTTTATTGATGAAAAATATAATAATTTACAGAATATTTACCTGGAATGTCAAAAAGTAAAAGATATTTTGTTGAAAGTAAAACATATAAAAACCTACACGGTTTCAACATTTAATTCCATCGATAATTTCCAAAAATTACAAAGTAATGAAATTTTAAAAGATATTATAAATCTAGAAAATCAAATAACTGATTTAGAGACTAATATGATTAAATCTAATAAACCTGATGTAGTAAAATATTATCATGAATCTATTATTTATTCAAATAATCCAATAAAATTTGAAGATAAACTTAATTTGAATAAGAAAAAAATGTATGAAAATCAAATTTCTTTAGAAATGATTAAAGAAAGATATAAATATGTTTCTGATGAAATCATTAAAACAATTTTTTTCCTTAAAAGTAAAAATATAATTGATTATCATAATACAATTAAAAAGACTTCTAAAAACCTAAAAAAGAAAATAAAAATGACAGATTTTGTTATCAAAAATATAAATCGTTTACAAAAATTAATAACAGATTTTTTAAATAACTGATTATCAAATAAATTCTGTTTAATAATGATATCTTTTTTACTATTTTATCGCCAACACTCTTTACTCGGAATTTATTGTAAGTCCATTATCTTTGAGTCTTTTTCTATATTTTAAACAATGCATTGAATTTAGAATCTTATTCTCAATTTAGTTCAAAAATTTTTTCTGTTTATTTTCGTAAAATCTTGATACGCAGGTAATGTAGATTTGACGTCTCTGTCTTTTTGTCTTTCGGCTCTTTATGTAGCATATCGTGATATATTTCTTTGCTATAATCGGCACGGGGGCTTGGATTCAAACGTTTTATTCGATTAAAAAATATGGTATTGATCTCTTTTTAAATCCACACGAATAAATTTACATTTCTATTTTTATTGTAATTTGAAGTCTTTTAGGCTACAAATTAAGTTATTGGTTTAAAGATCATTTTAGATTATCACATATTGGATTATCTCTGAATTTATCAAGAAATAAGATTGAATTTATTTGACTATAATTCGTATTATCTTCTTTGCTTTATTGTTTCAAATTGTTGGAGCTTTAACATTTTAGGTAATTTCGACAATACCTACTGCATCTTTTTTAATTCATTTCCTGATCTATATTTTAGGGTTATTATCCCGATTTGAAATGCTGACTTTTTTTCATATTTCACTTCTATTTTAGCATACTAATCTTCAAGCATCCAGGCAATTGAAATCCTTCTTTTTACATTGAATCTCAAATCTTATACATATCTTAGAAAGTAAGTTTATACATTAACTAGTATGTTTTAACAGCTTCTATAGTAAGTTACAGGCCTTTTTTGAATATCTAGGTTCCTAACGCGCATCAACTTTCTAATTTTTCTACAATTTAATTTTGTTCTTACATGAATATTTTTATTAAATTTCACTCAAAAAAAAAGTGTAATGAAAAATAGAATTTGAGATAAAAAACGTATTAAATAGCCTTTTTTAATTTTTTTAATCGAATAAAAATACAAAAACTTACTTTTTAATCTGCTGGTTTTGAATATAAGAAAATAAATATAAATTTCTTCGAAAATCTATAATTATACATTTTTAGAAGTTACAAATAAATTAATCTACAATACAATCACATTTATTTCGAAATTATAAAAACGTAAAATAATGTTTGGTTTTAAACCGTTCTATTTCGTGTGGAAATACTGTTTCGATTCTAAAATTATTAAATCTTGTCAATTGATTTCTATTTTTTCCAATGATAATGTTCTTTGCTTAGAAGCGTTATTTAAACATAGAAAAATTAATATGATTCCTCTAATGAATAAAAAAAAGCAATTTGCTTGTATGAAGAAATAATATATTAATAAGTGATTTGATGGTCAATAATCAAAGAATCAATCAAATATTAGCACAAAGCAGAACTTGGTATAAATTTTATATAAGCGCGAAATATACGGCTATAAAAAGAAATTTTATTACTATACAGGTCTAAGAATTTGAGTTTTATATGTGTGATTGTATTTGAAACATACGATTACCACTACCACTGTTAGCCTATGAGCAAAAAACACGGTTTGATATATATCTAACTATAGATTTACAACTAATTGACAGAATTTGAGAATTCTTTAAAAATGAGAATGACGAAACCACATGATCGTTAAGATTTAACAGATTCATTAAGAAATATAATACAAATATTTCAAATATAATTAATAATATGTGGATATGAAGCAGAGTTAATAAAGGTTTTTTAATATTGTTCAATCAGAACAGATGTGAATATATTAATATCGGTTAACACTAGAAATATTATTTATTCATTTATGAATCATTAAACTATTTTCTTACATAATAACTTATTAATACGATTAGTAGTATCCTAATAAATCTAGAACTAAAAGTATCAATCTGAATAACCAATGATGTATTAAAAAAATTTGGAATTATAACCTAAACAAGAATTTGAGGATGGATAAGATTAGAGTCAGCAAAACTCAGGAAAAGGCTATCAAAAAGCGGCTGTAAATTCCTAAAAAAATGGTAAAGGTCCACCAACTACTGAAATATGTTTTAACTAGAGTCTTTGTATTGAAAACTACATTCTAAGACAATCTAAATTTCATTTTCGAAAAATTTAAAAATTCTTTGATTCTTAAATATACTAGAAATTGCAAAAATTTTGTCTGTATTAAATAATTAAAGTCAATAACT